TTCCAGAGAATTTTCCTTAGACTGCCCCGCGGTGGAGAGTTTGACACGCTCCACTAACTATAACTTTGGCCGAGTTAAGGCCCGCACGAGTCTCGCACTGAGAATTGCTTCGAGTTCGGATAGTAAGATCGCAAGCGATATGCAATATGGAATTTGATATGTCCTCTTGACCCCGCGCTGCCCGTGGCGACGGCACGTCGTGCGAGCACGTGCTGGCGTCGCCGTGGGAGTTTTTACACGTAGCTAATCCTACAACACGCCGCAACACTGACACACAAATATATATATGCACATAACCCGTGGCGGCAGAGCGAGCGAGAGCGAGAGAGAGAGAGAGACAGACTGCGGGGAGTGCGAGAAAGAGAGAAAGATAGTGGGAGAACGGCAGATAAGGTACGAAAATACGGCAGGTGACGGTACGACGGCGAGGATGTACAAACGCGTGTCAATCCATAATCGGAAAACCCCCCCTCGAAAGCCGATGTAGCCGAGCCGATGTACGTGTCCCGAAAACTCCGCGATGTTACGCTGCCCGCTATACGCATTCGCGCGCCCGCCTTCCTTCGGCGCGCGAATGTGTATAGCGGGGAGCTTACGCATAACATCCCGCGGCCGCGTGCGCCCAGTCCCGCGGAAGTGCGCGGCTTAACCGCTTTCGGCGGTCGGGGAACAACGCATCTTTTGCGCAAGGCCATCTTGTATCCGGTCTCTCTGGATACCTATATAGACACATGGCTTAGGCTTAGCTATACTCTCTGTGAATATTGAGTTTATTCACGCACGATTAGTCAATATATTAGCAAATATATGCGCACGGAAGTGAATTACAGATGATTAAATGTTCGAACCACCCGACTCCGAACCCCCCTACCGCACCCGCCTGTACTGTGTGTACTGGCACATTGTACAGCTGGTACATGTGCTGGCATTGTATACTAGCGGGCGCGGTAGGGGGGTTCAGAGTCGGGTGGTTCGAACATTTAATCATCTGTAATTCACTTCTAAGGAATATCTGCATTGGGCACATCCTCTAATAATTATAGTACTGCCATAAGCTACAACTGTGCCAAGTTTGAGACTTTTGTCACTCCTGTAACGATTCGGCCCATATTTTGCACTAAGGAACCTGACTATATATAGCCCGCGTACAGTTGCCGCAGGGCTATAGAACATTCTATTACGAATGCTAGGGACCAACCCGCTGACTGGCGCTGCTGCAGCGCCACCAAAAATGGCCGTTTGAAGTTCGTAAATAATGTTCGTTTACAAGAAATACCACAAGCAGACCATTTCAACGATAGTTAGAGGTTGATACTCCGTTAGGAGTGTTCCCAACTTTAATGTCATTAATGGTCATAGTAACATATATATATATATATATATATATATATATGACATGGTCATATATTAGTTTGTGGTTTAATGTCATTTAGGTTAGGGTTAGAATTAGGATTATTAATCATTAATCATTAATCATTAATGATATCAAAGTTGGGAACACTCCTAATGCTGCGTTTACACTATCGATTTTTGTCAGCAAATCGTACCGATTTCAAGTGCATTCCAACACAATCGGCTAAAATTCGATTGTATTGGAGTCGGAGTCGCAGTCAAGTTGCCGAGTTGGAGAAATGTAGAACGTGCTAGTTCTCCAACTCGGCCCGACTCCAACTCCAATACAATCAAATTTCAGCCGATTGTGTTGGAATGCACTTGAAATTGAATTGGTACGATTTGCTGACAAAAATCGATAGTGTAAACGCAGCATAATGGAGCGTTAGCCCAACACTGTGTCAGTGTGTGTGACTGTCACTGACACTGACACTGAGTGTGGGGTGCCAGGGTGTGACAGTGTGTGACTCTGTGAGGGTATGTGTGTGTGGCCTAATCCTAGTTTAGCACATTTGAGAAAACACATTTGCGGGATCCGAAACTAGGATTGTGCAGTGTGTGCACTCGCGTGTGTGCAGGTGTAGGGGCCCAGGGGGCTACGTGTGTTCGTGCGCATACAGTATGTGTTCGCGCCAATGTATGCATGTCGAAGTGTGTACATGCATGTGATTCTTCTTGGGGATGTACGTGTGTTCGCGAGCATGTTGTTGGTGTTCCTGCAAAGTTCAAGAAATCCAGTGGTTCCTTAAAGGGATATTCTCTCGAACTTTCCAGCGGAAAACATAAAATCAGGCAAAAATGAATTATTTTAACATTGCACGCTTCTACTTGCCTGTATATGTGTGATAAATGAAAAAAAATTGCACAGGAATACGTTCATTCAAAGCTTTTAGACTACAAAGTGAAACGTTTGGGTTGAATGTTTCAAACACGTTTACCGTTGCCGCTATGCGGCGATTGTTCCGCTCTGCACACTTGCCGTGTTATCATATGTATGTATGAAATTCTTAAATTAATAACATAAACAGTCGAGGTGCGTATCTGTCTAGACTACAAAGTTCTCAAGTTTCATAAAATGATTTATATTAAAAGTTATGATATCTGAAAGTGGCTACATTGACTCGATTTAAATGATGGTTGCTTAAATATAACCAATATGGCGCCTACGGAACCGCGGCGAAAAACGTTTTTCGAGTTGTTTCTTCGATGAGCAAATATATACTTGATACATATTTTTACAGTTTTATTTTCAAAGCTAACGTTCAGTTAAAGTGTAGTGAGTTATTTATTGATGTTTTTACAGTGGTTTGTTACACAAATGTACGTGGAAAGTTCAAGCGAAGCTACCTTTAACCACTACAGAAATCCAGTTTCCCCCCCACCCCTTGCTTAAAAGCAAATGTTTCAATACTTGCTTTGTTAAAATTGTACTTACTACCACTTATTTTTTCTTTTCTATCAAATTAGCACCTACGATTCAGTGGAGTTTAACCCTGGTGCGCATCTGAACGTGATAATCGGACCGAATGGCACAGGAAAGTCGAGTATTGTCTGCGCGATCTGTCTGGGCCTGGGAGGTAAAACTCAATACATGGGCAGAGCGACGGAAGTGGGCGACTTCATCAAGCACGGATGCGATTATTCTGAGATAGAGATTGAACTGTGAGTGAGGATCAATAAATAATGCAGTGTAATTACAAGGTGCCAGGTTAGGTGTTGTTCACACTCTATATATAATAGACAATCTAGATATCATTCATTCACATATTCAGAAGTCATTATCATTCTGTTCGAAGTGGCTGGAGGTATGGCAGCCGTCATTCGTTGAAGCCCCTTTTTGGGATTTGTTTGAGGGCTGAGGCAATTATTTGCGATCTTCTGATGTAAAGTTTACAATAATGTTCATTTTCATACTTAATCCAATCGAGTATTTTCTAGCTCATCAAAACTCTCAAATCGTTAATTTATTTCCCAAGGCATTATTTCGAAATCTGCGGCCATCCGCCGCCATCTTTGTCTCGTTTGTATGAAAGCAAATGGACTGCTGTACCTCTAGCCTCGTAAATTGGGGATACGGCTGCCATACCTCTAACCACTGCCTTAATTGTTTCATAACTTCACTTTTTTTCTGTTCTCTTAAAGTCCTGCAATAACTAGTGGGAGCTGATAAGAGATTTGTGGCGTAATTAACCGTCGACAATTTAAGCGTATATGCCATATGGCAGGGTTCGAAATTAACACTCGCATACTCGCAAAATGCGAGTTGATTTTAGAAAATGCAAGTTGAAATTCAAAGCACTCGAATAAAAATGCGAGCTTCCGAGTAGCAAGCAGGGATGGAGATGTAAGTCCTCTAGTCTCTACAAACTCATAAGTTTATGTACAACGCAATCTCATTGCACGCACGACGCTGCATAAACAGCGCATATGCCACTAGTGCGACATGATTACGCAATAGCCAGGCAGCGGGAATTACTGGAATTACTAGCAGCAATGATCTTATATGCGATCTTTGCTAGCAGCTAGAGAATCACGTGGGTGAAAAGATGGGCGGCGCAGCGACTAACACGGTGAAACAGAGGCGTGGCAGCTTGCAGCCGAGGAGCAGGAACCAGTCTATGAGCAGGCAGTAGAAATTGGCGCTCTGCTTATTCTTTTGGCCTGCTTGTTTGTCCTTGAACTTTTCGTGACAGGCAGCTTTGAACTACCGACGGAACAGCAGACGATAACGGGAAGAGAAGAGAAGAAATTTTCAATGAGCACTGTTGATTTAATCATAGTTATAAGAAATAATGTTTCTTTATTCTATTATATTCTTTTGTCATATATGTATATAAAATATGAGTAAATAAAAACATTCGTTCATAATGTCTTATAATGTCGTTTATAATGACTTTTTACACTCAAGAAGAAAATGCAAGTTAGGACAGAATTTTGCGAGTTGAAAATATATGAACTTGCAAAAAAATGGAAGTGGGTAAAAAAATTAATTTCAATCCCTGTATGGTTCCTAATCATTAGCGTTTTTCTAGGTGCAATACAACGGGACCAAACTATGTGATTAAACGTGTGATCAACCCCAACAACCAGTCAACTTGGATTCTGAATGGACAACAGACCACTCACAAAAATGTAATGAAATGTTACTAGGTACTTAATTAGTAACCCGGCCGTCATAGTGACTATCGAATTGATACAGACGGAAAGGTGTCGATCCATACTAAATGAGCAGACGTTTTTCTTTTTTATTCTTTTACTTTTACTCTTACTATATGATATATGTATTTAAGGTTTTCAAGTATTCCTGTACTATTTGTGTATTTCGTTCGAACTGATGGTAGATCTCGTACGATATCCTACTCTTTTGCGTGTTTTGATTAGATTGACGAAGTGACGAAGAAGCTGAACATCCAAGTGGGAAATCTGTGTCAGTTTCTTCCCCAAGAGAAAGTAGCAGACTTTGTGAAGATGACTCAGCAGGAACTTCTAGAGAACACGGAGAAGGCGGTGCGTAGCTGTCTACAGAGCCCTCTATCGTCACAAAGTGAAATCGTCACAAAACAACGAACTTGCTGACGTCAATTGTGAATAATAGGAAATGTTTTTAGCTCACATTGACATCGTCAAGATGAGCTGTTTGCCATGGGGCGTTGTTCGTCGTACGTCCGTCCGTTCGTCAACATTTGGCTACGGTCAACGATAACTTGAGAACTGTTTGACCCACGTGTTTCAAATTGCATACAGTTGTTACTCCTATGGGAGAGATTTGAACGTCCTATTTTGAAGCACGCCAGTCGACCTACTTTCGAGCCACGCCCACTTCTTGGCAAAAAGGGAAATGGACATAAGTCCGTTCAGGTGGATTTTGCTCATTTTTGGTATGTGAATGAATAAGGACTGGCCCCAAAACATTTCACACGAGTTTAGATATTTTTTTTTAATTATGCAAATTAGGCAAATTTTGGCAATTTCACTGTGCATTTCAGTGTCTGCCTACGGTCAACGATAACTCAGGAACCGTTTGACCCACATGTTTCAAATTGCATATAGTTGTTACTCCTATGGGAGAGGTTTTAACGTCCTATTTTAGAGCACGCCAGTCGACCTACTTTCGAGCCTCGTTTACCTTTTCGCAAAAATGGAAATGGCCATAAGTTCATGCAGTTAAGGTTCAAGGGATTTTGCTCATTTCTGGTATGTGAATGAATAAGGACTGGCCCCAAAACATTTTATTCGATTTTGTTAAATTTACCTACCTACCTACTTACCTACCTACTTACCTACCTACCTACCTAATCATACCTACGTGTAATATTGTGTTTTAGATTCTTCGTTACAGTAATTTGACAGGAAGTTTATTGCTTTTATTTGCGCGATAATCGAAAACCAAAATGACGATCATTTAGGCGTAACGCCATCTCTCGCCCAGATTTCAGACTTTCAGATCTGAAACATTTATTTTCGCATCAAAACTAACCCTGAAACAAAACAGTGAAATTTCTATTAGTATAAAACAGCGAATAAGGACATTTGATCACATTTCGGTCCATCATAAATGAAACACAATATCATCTCCCTCTTCTATCACACCAAAGTTAAACTATAGTGTCATTGACACTTTCATTTATGTATTTGTTGTTTTGAATTTTTCGTGGAGATCCGTGTGTACATATATTGCGTGCGATAGGTGCGTGCTAATATATATACTGTAAGTCATCTCCTGGACACCTCTTTTTGTTTTCGAGAATATTTCCGAGGAAATATCTAATAAGCAACCCCACCTTATGATACTGCTGGTGGTGTAAGAATTCATACGTAGATTGTAATCGCGAAGTTTTGTCTGTGTCGTGTTTACACATTCATGTGTAATCTAAGACAAAAAGCTGTGATTGTTGGACCGGATTGGAGATGTCCTGTGGCTTGATCTTATTATTTTTTGACATGCGTAGGTCGGCCCACCAGACATGTTTGAGAATCATCAGAAGTTGAAGGATTCACGCTCAAAGGCTCGTGACCTGGAACTTTCCTACCGAAATCTCAACGTAAGTTGTTGCTCCCATCGGTGCCGAATAACAAATAGTTGGCATAAAGTCGCGCAACAGTGGCACCTCTTTCATTTGACAAGCTGTGGACCAGGCTTGTGATGGGTTTTGAAGAATTCACTTTCGCTTGTTTTTCTTGTCGTACTCGCAGGAATACCTGAGCAGCGAGCGACAGAAGAACGTGCGGCTAGAGACGGACGTGCAGAGCTTTCACGACCGGCACCGGCACCTCGAGAGAGTGACGCTGCTCACGCAGAAACGCGGCTTCCTGGTAAACGCACGCGTGATTCACCCCAGCGTCGTGCGCGTTCCACCGACGTGATCGCGTGTCGGTAGCGTGCAGACGGGTTACATTTGGGTGAGGGTTGCTCGGTGTTGGAAATGGCAGCTCGTTCCTTAGTCCAGGATTGGTAACATTTGATCAGGACTCGCTACTTTTTGTGTGGATTTTACTATAGGTTAAAGTCCAAAGTCCTCCGCGTTGCGGAATATCCGCGAAAATCGCGGAATTTGCGTGAATCGCAGAAAATGCAGTTTTGAGAAAAAAGAAGAAAAAAAAACCTCCAAAAATGACAAAAAAAACGAAATTTAATTAAATAAAAAATGAAAAAATAATAATAAGAAGAAAATCTGCTTTAAATTCATCTTAATAAAGAATAATAAACTCACGAAATTAATATTTCACCATAATAACGCATGTAGTAGGCCTATGATCGATCTCCCATCAGCATCATAACAATCCGATTGCATCACCTGATCGGAAATTTCCATGGACAATTCGTGCTACTGCAATGCAGTCAATTTTTACACTTGAATTAACATTTACATCTAAGCTCAGCCAACATCAATTCTAAAATAATTAGCCCTTTCTCGATTCCGTTGCCTCGATGCCAATTTTGGATACTGCAACGTACTATAACAGAAACAGAAACAGAAACTTGTTGTCCCACAAGCCTCTGCGCGGCCCGCTCTAAAAATAGACACAGTATTCAATGGGGACATCGAGGGGCGCCTACAATAAGGCAAGTAAATAGTTAATAGTATGCTTTAAGTTTTCTTGAAAGTCGCAAAATTGTCAAATTTACAAAGCGAAGAAAAGCGGAATTTTGGATATGTAAAGCAGAAAATTTTGGACTTTACTATAGGTCATATAGTACTAGATGTCTACTGTCTACGACGTGAGCGATGATGTACTCCAGAGGGGAGCTGTTGTTGGACGCACGGCATCTCAAGTTTATCCTCGGTTCTGTCTCATCTTCCCCCCCCCCCTCCTCTCTGTCTCTCTCATGCGCGTAGGAGTACGAGCGATGTCGGCAGCGCTTCACCGAGGCGACGGAGCGGCGTCACTCGCTGAAGAAGCGCTCTCAGGAAGCGGAGGCCGACACGGCACCGCTGCGGCTCAGGCTAGAGGTCGTCACCAACGAGAAGGACTCGCTCGAGACCAAGATACGAAACAAGGTGCGAGTCGCCCTGCTCCACCCACCCCTGTCTCGGGCACACCACCCGCCTCTGTTCGCGCGCCCGCACGCCCCACCCACCCCTGCCTTGCTCGCCCCACCCACCCCTGCCTCGCGCACACCACCAGGGCACGAAATTCAGATTTTTTTGCACCGGCCCAGAGGGCTGGGAACAGCAATTTTTTACCAGCCCTTACCATAATTTACCAGCCCTCACAAATTTTGTTTGACAATCAATGTCATGTTTCACGCATGCATTCTCGATTTCAAATTTGTAAAATGTTGATAAATTATGGCATGATATCCTTTAGGTAAAACAGTAATAGAGGCTATTTGCTATAGGCTATAGGTTTAAATTAAAATGTAGGTACTCGCTAACATGGCTGAACCCACCGGCTCGGAGGGCCGGTGTTTTGCCATTGTTACCGGCCCTCCAAATAATTTGCCGGCATATGCCGGTGAGCCGGTGCTAATTTCGCGCCCTGCACCACCCACCTCTGCCTAGCGCGCCCCGCACGCCCCACCCACCCCTGCCTCTTGCGCACCACTTACCTCTGCTTCGCGCACCCCCATCGCTGCTGCTCTGATTCACTCACAGCCTGTCGCTGGAAATATTATGAGCAGTTATGACGGCACGAGTCTAAAATGTGTCGATACGTTTTCGCCAATTGGCCAGAGCCCCCTGTCAGTCGCGCGAGGCGGTTAGGTCTTTTTAAAGTGAAGCGGGCGAGCTTTCTTCTCTAAGATTTTTCTTCCTTTAAGTCCGTGCGCGCGCGATGCCGTGTGTAATTGACGTTTTGTCGACGTTTTTCCGCAGACTGTGGAGATGCGACCTCTAGCGGAGAAAGCGCAGAGGTTTGTGAAGAGCATCGAGACACTGAACGACAAGGTAAGCGGAGAAGCACGACGATAGCGATGACACGGCAACGTATTAGCCAGCGAGCCGTGCAGCCGTGATTCGCACGGTCAGTTTTGAAACTGCACGGCCAAAAATGTGTAGCACGGCCTAAAATGTTGATCTAAAGCCGTGTACATTTGTAAAATTGCACTCCCAAATATCTTTTCTGCACACCCACAATACTCATTACTGGCTAATACCCTGATGACACGGTGCTGTCAAACCAGAGTGCAAGCGTCGTCAGTCGGGCAAACTCTAACGTTGTCCGTTTTTGGAAGGGTTTCCGGTCGATAGTGGCAGTTTCACCGCGTAACAGCCAGTCGAGGGACGTGCCGAAAGTGTCCTTTATATGCAAGTGTCTGTTCTGTATCGGTGTTCACTAAGTCGGCTTTGACGGACACGGGTGCATGTCACGAGTGACGTGTGGGTGCTGATGTGTCGTGTCTGATGTGTGCACGAGTGCATGTGCAACATGCGTGCCTGCGTGTGCGCGCAACGTGACACTGATACTCCTGTGAGGCGCACGTGCGTGTCTGTGTGGTCTGACATTGACGTGCGTGTAAATGTGATCTGACATTGATGTTTGTGTGAGCGTATGCGTGCATGCGTGTGTGCGTGCATATGTGCATGCGTGCGTGTGTGCGTGCATATGTGCATGCATGCGTCTGTGTGCGTGATGTGACATTGACGTGCGTGCGTGCGTGCGTGCATGTGATCTTACATTGATGTTTGTGTGAGCGTATGCGTGCATGCGTGTGTGCGTGCGTGCATATGTGCATGCATGCGTCTGTGTGCGTGATGTGACATTAACGTGCGTGCGTGCGTGTGTGCGTGCGTGCGTGATCTTGCATTGATGTTTGTGTGAGCGCGTGTGTGCGTGCGTCTGTGTGCGTGATGTGACATTAACGTGCGTGCGTGCGTGCGTGCATGTGATCTTGCATTGATGTTTGTGTGAGCGCGTGTGTGCGTGTACGTGCATGTGATCTGACATTAACGTGTGCGTGTGTGCGTGCGTGCGTGTGTGCGTGTGTGCGTGCGTGCGTGTGTGCGTGCGTGCATGTGATCTGACATTAATGTTTGTGTGAGCGCGTGTGTGCGTGTACGTGCATGTGATCTGACATTAACGTGTGCGTG